TAGGAAATGAGCGGGCTGAAGCCATCACCGTCTCCGCAGAGATAAGCTGAGAAAAGCCAGGAGTCTGCATGAGCCAAACTGACATCTCCCCCCTGGGTGGGCACCTAATGAACAGAGACATTGTCCATTTGGGGAGAGGAAGGCAAGCTAAAAGATTTCCAAGCTGACACCTTGCTGTCTCCATTGGTATCCCTGTCAAAACCAGCACTGGGAAGAGAATGGAGGTGGAAAAATCAACCCCAGCCTCGCCATAAAACTTTGCAGGTGGTGGATAAAGAAGTGACGGAGCAGCTAGGCAGGACGGTTGCCGTGCTGGTGTGGGGAGCCCAGCCTCCTTAGCGCCACGTCCATGCCCAACTCGCGGACCTGTTCCTCTCTTTGCTATTTTCTGCCACGCACACCAAGCTGGAGGAGGAACGGGTACGTTGTCACAGCTTCCCCAGGAGCGCATTAGAAACCATTCTCCTAGGGCACCAGGGGGTCAGAGGAGGCTGCACGCTTCACACTCAGACCCCAAAGAGGCATTTACACCACGGGTGAATGTTCACATAGGGCCCGATCCTGATAATGGGTCAAATCCTGGCTCCAGTGACCTTGAGGGAATTTTCCAACTGACTTCAATAGAGCAGGATTTGAAAAGTGCACTATCTGGCCCATAAGCCACCAGTGTCTAAATATCAATCGGTTTGCTAGCTTCCCGGAATGTCCCATTTCCAGATTTCCCAGGAGTCAACACATTGATGTGCATAAACATGTTGGTCAATTCTTGCCCAGTGTTATGTGGCCCTGTACTAAAGAATGCATAAGCAGAAAGGGACAGAACTGGTTTGGAGTTTTAAACAACCCTCAGAAAATCACTGCAAAAGCTATATACAGGCGGTGTTAAATTGGAGATTTTAGAGAAAGCAGAATTCTCTCATCTGCTTGTGCAGTTTCAATTAAACCCAGTTCAGTCAGTCTGTATAAACTCACTCTTCATAAACCCAGTTGTACTTTAGTTTTCTAATTTAAACTCCAGCCTCTCTATTAGCGATTACTTTGAACATGATGAGATGGCATTGACAGTACAGAGCAGGGGTAGGCAACCTATGGCACGTGTGCCAAAGGCGGCACGCGAGCTGATTTTCAGTGGCACTCACGCTACCCAGGTCCTAGCCACCGGTCCGGGGGGCTCTGCATTTTAATTTAATTTTAAATGAAGTTTCTTAAACATTTTAAAAACCTTATTTACTTTGCATACAACAATAGTTTAGTTATATATTATGGACTTATAGAAAGCAACGGGGGATAGCTCAGTGGTTTGCGCATTGGCCTGCTAAACCCAGGGTTGTGAGCTCAATCCTTGAGGGGCCCCACTTAGGGATCTGGGGTAAAAATCTGCCTGGGGATTGGCCCTGCTTTGAGCAGAGAGTTGGACTAGATGACCTCCTGAGGTCCCTTCCGACAAAAAAACAAAACAAAACATTAAAATGTATTACTGGCCTACAAAACCTTAAAACAGAGTGAATAACTGAAGACTCAGCACAGCACTTCTGAAAGGTTACCAACCCCTGGTATAGAGTGTCTAGGAATAGGGCAGTGTCCCTTATCACCTGTTTCAGAAGAAGCTTGGGCAAACACAGTAGTGAAAACATTTGTGCCTATTCATCCAACAGAACCTACTCCTCCTCTTCCACAGCATGCATGACCTCTGGCAGTTGTATTTGTTCACAAGAATGCTAGTGGAAAAGGAAGGTGTCACAGATACTTGTTTGAATGGGTGTTTGCACAAGTATTGACACCAGGAGTGTTCGCATGGCCATCTTGAAAGTTCTTTTGGGTGTTATCCAGTGTAGCAAGAGAAGCAGCACCATGCCATTAGAGTGACCATTTTCACAGTGCAAACAGTGACCACTCAACGCGACAGCAACTACCTTGTGAGAAACCCATAAGCTGAAGTGTGTGTGTGTGTATAAACTATTCTGCG